AAGAATGGTCCATATGTAGGGGGAGAGAGAGAAAGAAAGAAAGATAGATAGATAGAAAGGGAAGAAAGCGAAATATTATTAGACTCTGTCTAATGTCAATGATGTTGTAGTAAATAGATGACTGCATTTTAGATTTGTAAAAGTTTAATTGGGTCAGTGGTTTTCAGGTTTTAATTTGTGTGAATTTAATCTGGGGATGAATGGAATTCGAGTTGTTGTACTTTTAACTGGTGCATAGCCAATTTTTTTTCATAGAATGTGGGGCGTTATAAACTAAATGGTTCTTTGCAAACAAAAGGACCTAGTAAGTAGGATGGCTAAGCTTGACTCCCAAAAATCTGTTAATTTCGTGTGTGTGTGTGTGTTAATAGTACATTGGGTGTGGTGTGTATATGTTTAAATGGAATAATAAATCTACTGTTATGAATTATGTTTTTCAAGAAAAGTCTCACTTTCTTTCGAAGCTAAGTAGAAGTGATTTCAGGGATTGTTGAATAGCCTCCGAGTGAGATTATTCAACAGAAAATAAGACTTGTTACAGGATTTCGTCATAAGCTGACATCGGTTAGAGAACCATTGGAAAATCTGTACGGAGTACTGGGCAGCTGTTTCATCACACTAGTTTAGGACTTTTTAGCAGTACGCACCCGCCGGGGTTTCGAACCCACCACCTTCTGGTTTCAAGGCGAGCTCGTAGACCACTACTCAGCCACTGGGACCCGATCCAATTGCCCATGAATTTCAACTTCTGCCAATTCACGACATAGCGCAAACACTAGCCAATATCTTCGGCGAGTATTCGTCCTCATGCCTTACCTGCTGTAACCCGCTGGTCACGACTTCCCGCTAGAACCCTGCCTGAATAGGGCCAGTAGTTAGTGAGCATCTCATTGATATTCAAGTATTGGCTTGTAGGGATTTGATTGGTTAGTTACAGGATTTAATCATGTGTTCGAACCCCCGGTGGACCAAACAGCTGTCCATTACTCCTAGGTTTTCCAATGGTTCTCTAACCGACGTCACCTCATGATGAAATCCTGTAACTAACCAATTAAATCCTTACAAACCAATACTCAAATAAGACTGTTTTAACCGATAATTTTATTTGATTTATTGATACACTAGAGCATTTCATTACGGTTTTAATGGATCCGTGTAAAACAGTAACAAGAAAAGACTTTAACGATCGAAACCGACTTGTTGTGGTCTGAACACAGGATACTGACCTATGCATTCTACTGTATAGCTGACTAAAATTTTCTTGAGTTACTCACAGTCACGAAATGCCCTAACAATAGCAAAATAACAGTTATTGGCATCGTCGGTGGCACAGTGGTTAGGACTCTCGCTGACCATGCACATGGTCCGGGGTTCGATCCCCTGCCGACGCACACCCGATATCTATGGTCGGCCTGCAAAATTTGGGCTACCGATATCCATGCTGAAAATTCCATACTTGTACTGAAAATACGGTATGGAATCAAGCTGTAATCAAAAATAAAAAAATAAAAATAAAATAAAATCTGTGAAACTATTCAACAATTGCAACATAACAAAAAGCAAAATTACCCCAACAATGCCTTTATGCAGATATACACGTAACATATGTCCACTGCTACAAAACAAGCACTGTAATAGAGAAGATTTGTAGCTCAGGTGGATGATTTGCAATTAATAGTGTTCTCTGAGCTGGTTGGTTTAGTTGCGAAACTTTCGTCATCCTTCTGGACAACATCTCCAGCGCCATATTTAGCACAAAGTGACATGATTTAAATTTCTTCATGAGTGATATAATTGCGTCTCCTGGTAACTAAGTAATCCAAGTCAATAGAAAATGGTCAATACATATGTAAAGATAGTTGCCAGGAGACGCAATTATATCACTCATGAAGAAATTTAAATCATGTCACTTTGTGCTAAATATGGCGCTGAAGATGTTGTCCAGAAGAACGACGAAAGCTTCGCAACCAAACCAACCAGCTCAGAGAACACTATTAATTGCAAAACAAGCACTGTGCTACAGAGTTATCATGACTAAAATCAACCGTAGGATATACCGAAGAAACAAGCAGACTATTTCCAGAAAGGCTGGGATCATAACTCTGTATGCAAGAATTACACATCACACAATTCCTGCAAACAGTTTACGATCTGAATGATTTCGACCCAATCAGAGAAAATCTCAGGCGTAAGACAACATATAATAATAATAATTTGCTTTATTCCAGAAACAGTACTAGTGGTACAGTGTGGAATTTTCAGCACATATCTACAATATTTGCATCTAATTTTACCGACATTTAAAATAAGTATTAAACAAATAAAAAAAATAAATCTGAAGACACCAACAGCAAAAACAAAAAAAAACAAACAGGATAAACACAAAATAATTATGAATGCGAAAAAGTACCAAAGTCTACCAAGGTCTAATGCAGTGTTTGTGGTGGTAGTGTGAGTAATCCTGAATAATACAAATTTTTTGAGGTGGTGACTATGGCATTCACAAACAATGATTGTCAGTTTAATATTGCCGAAAAGTATAGAAAATAAGAAAAACAACCACAAAACTAATAATTACATGATGGTTAATGACACGACAATTTTGTAATACCCATAGCGCTAATATAGTCGGAACCAGTGGATACACAATAGAAGGAATATAGTAAAGTACAAAAAAGGAAGCCAATGGTTATATTTCAGGTAGCTAAGTAAGTTTGAAGAAGGAGTTCACTAAAGAATACGAAATAAGAGAGAAATAGAAGAGTATGAAATTATGTTGTTAATAACAAAGCAAGTCACAGGTTTCACGCTTAACATTGTCTCTGTCGCTTAGAACGCGGGCCAAGTATGGTATCGTTGAGTTCCTATACTTGGTTGTACGAGCATAGATTCTTTTATACTGATTTCTGGTTTTACTTGATAAGATACAAGGAGAGAGTTGGGAATAGAGGTTGGGGGTGTTGGGGGTCGGAGAGTATGGTTTTTGACCATTTTTCACATGTATTCAGATGCCTATCAACTAAAGTAGTCACGAGCTGACTGAGATTAACACCACTAGTCCTACTAACTACTGTCAACATCCTTCTCAGGATGTTGACAGTAGTTATCAATAATACCAAAAAACCACAAAGAGAAGCATTGGAATTGAAGACTGAACGTGGACAAAGGTAATCAGTAAGGATTGAGTCAACAAATTATATGCAAGTGTTGTAGCAATGATACAAAGTCTAGGAGAAAAACGGATAACAGTTACAAAGTTAGATGGTTCAGGCAGGATTTCCCAAACAGTTATTCCATTACAAAGATCCTGCTGTTTTTTCTGGGTAACTGACTGATAACTAGTCACATCAATTTGTGGTGTGTGCAAGCCTAATCTTTGCAATAGTTCTTCCGTTTGTCATGCCTGATATTATTCTAAGTTTCAAAGGGACTTTGAGGAGGATTTATGTGTAATATCACACAAACCTGAAAGTAAATAAGAGAAAAAACTAACAGGTTGGCAGAAGAGGCAGGCAGTAACTACAGGGCTTCAAGTGAACACATGGTAGACTGTGCGTCGGTGGCACAGTGGTTAGGACTCTCTCCGACCATGCACATGGTCCAGGGTTCGATCCCCTACCGACGTACACCCGATATCAATGGTTGGACTGAGAAATTTGGGCTACCGGTATCACATGCTGAAAATTCCATACTTTTACCAAAAATACGGTGTGGAATCAAACTATAATAAAAATAAAAATAAAAAAAGACAGATGTGATGAAAGTAATCAACCAACAATAAAACCAGACGAAACTGGAACGATATCACCTCATTCGCTCATCTAGATAGCATCGTGCCAACCAAAGGCAGCACAGATAAGGCTGTTAAAGTTAGTCAGGACTGGATAGGAAAACCGAAACAGACATTTATTATTCTGAAACCAATGTGGATATCTGCTGCATTAAGCGTTAAAAAACAGGATTCGTATATTCAACACACTAATTTTAATTCAGTTCTTCTGGATGGTACACAGACTTGGCACCCACATCACTACAAGCTTTTCCATCAGACCTCAGACTTTCATCAACAGCTGGCTTCGCTAACTGGATATAGGAGATCAGGCGATGAACGAGAAAGGATTAGGGACAAAAATCTTTGGTAGGCAATGAACTAACCAAGAACCTATCGTCTAACAAATATGCAGGAGGGAATGGAGATGGATTGGTCATGTACTGAAAAGACCGTTGGCTGACATCACGCACCAGGCTCTAGAGTGGAACCCAAAGGGGAAAAGACGAGCTGGACGTCAATGAGGGACGTGAAGTAGATGAGAGCTTATGGGCAATGGTGTAGCCAGATTAAAAGGATTTCAGAGAACAGATTGAAATGAAGATGGGCTGTTGAAACTGTATGTTGCACTAGAAACTCATCGGGTTAATAATACAAGCAGATTATTGTTTAAAGTCAGAATACTTTGACGTTAAAAAAGACCTATAGCAAAACCTTTTCAGAATCTTGATCTATTTTCATAAAATTCAGTATCTACAATTCTCAGTATCGGAAATCGACCGTAAACTGTTAATACTTATCTGAATTTTATTTCATAAGCTTCCAGGTGCTTTTATAATTCTACGGGGTTGTGGTGTTCCTGTTAGTCCATCCTCTGGGTAGGTGATTCTATTGCTAAACATCAAACTGGTGATGAAAGTTTTATCAGATAAAATATTAGAATTAGAGTGACAAAATCTTCATGAATATTCAATAGTTTTAAGGAAGATTAAAACTGTTACTCGCAAAGTTTCTTTTTAATTTGAAGATTTTTTTTTAAAGTTTCACAGAATTTTGAAAACAAGGATTAGTAGTTAAGTTATCTGAAGTAAACATTCATTGTATAAGTTCGCCTCAGACAGACATACGCTTTTTAATCTTTCATATTTGTTCTTCTTTTATGTTGAATTCAGCCATTTTTGTTCTGTTCTAATATTTTTAAAAATAAAAAAATTTAATCTTATTTTGTTAGCCCGCCGAAGAGCTGCTAAACAACGACTTAAACAAGCAGGCAAAGATGCATCATTTAATGAATCAAATTTTGAAGATTCTGAATTATTTGCAGAATCAAAAAGTAAGTTGTGTATTTTATTTATGTGTTTTAAATAATTTTCGCTTAAAACGACTTTGATTTGCAATTTTACAGTAGCACAAACTTCAGCAAGTGAAGAATTAAGCCTGCAGAGGCGGACGGTTCAAATTTCCATCATAACTCTAAATAGTCTAGACAAGTAAAGTTGACTTTGGTGTAGTTGGGTTCTTTTTTTCAAGCTGGATAGTTTAATTGTGAAGGTTTCAATGTCTTCTTAGAAAACACTTTAAGGCTAACTTGAAGATGGAATAAGCTTTTAGAATTCACTTTGAATATAATAATCAAGCGATGATCACCAGCGTTCAGTTTAATCAGAGTAGATGCTTATCATATCCACGGGAAGATCTAAAAACTAACTCCATCTTGAACTGTGCGCTGCAGATGGTGTCTAGAAGGACAATGAAACTTTGGAATTAAGCTATCCAGCTCAGAGAACCTGACAAAACTGAAATCACCCACCTAAGCTACACATGCTTTCCATCATTCCGACGGTTTCATTCTAGGAACGATGTTATTATGTCTTGAGAACTAATACATGGCACTAAGGAATGAAATGTGTTGGTCTGAGGCATTCTCAATACCATGAATTAGAGCCTCAGGGATTTTGAAGATGTGTGCTTATCGATGACTATCAATATGCGACGGGTGTACTAATTTTTTTGATAATCTGGATTTAATTCTTCTTACTACTCTGTACACTTATGTTTGCTTATTTTAGCACTATTCAGCTTCTATCCAATACTCATTTTTTACCTTCTCGAAGATGGGCAGCTCGCTGAGATGCTTCATCGTCCAAGATTCTGCAAAGTTTTGTATTTCTGTAATGTTACGAGTTTGATCATTAGCTGATATCAGTTAGATAACTACTGGAAAACCAGGGAATACTTAACAACCAATTCGTCCTAGTTAAGAACTCTTCAAGTGCACTCACCCACCCTGGTTCGAACCCACGACCTCCCAGTTAAAAGGCGATCTCGTAGAACATTCAGCCATTAGGATTAGATCCATTGGCTCATGAATTTGAGATATATGTAGTGCGATCACCAGTCAATGTTATAGGCCAGTTATTATTCTCTCACCTGACTTGGTAGACCTCACATTGGTCACGACTTTCACTAGAACTGTAGGTAACTTTGTGTATAGAGCCAATCGCTAGTGAGCAAAACTTTTTTTAAGCAAAAGACTTTTACAGTCGATTTCAGTCAACAAACATAAGTGGCAATTTTAGCCAGACTATCGAATTACACAAAGAAAATATTAGCGTAAGTAGGTAAATAAAATACAGAACAAGTAATTGGTTTTTCTCCCTATACACGTACGGAACTACTCAATAAATAACATATAGCACATCAGTTTATCTTAGAGCTATTACAAGTCTGGAGGAGAGTTAGTGTTTGAATAAAACCTTTTTGTTATAAAACTGAATAGAGTATTGTCTAATTGCTATTAGACAACAGTTATTTTTACTCTTTACCCCCACCAACATTCACACTATCCGATTACAGCGAAGTTAGATTTCAAGCACCAATAAGTACCAACGGAGAAATGACCTTGAACACATCAATCATATGATAAGGGAGATTTTTACTTACAAATTACACACATTCACGAAAATAATCAATTAAAAGGCATACAACCGTCACACAGGATATCTTCCTCTGACGTGTAACAAAATGCCTTTCAGTTTTGGATTGGAGTGTCGACAGAGTGATTTAACCACATTCTACGCATGTAATTATCTAGGTTTTCTAACCCTAACAATAACCCTAATCTAACTCGAACCAACCCTAATATCTCCCTTACTAGGTTAACCTAACCCTAACATAACCTTAACCTTATCTTTCTCAAACCTAACCTGAAACTTACCAGATATTTCATTTAATAACATAACACTTCATTGGATATATTTTATTCATGATTATAATGTTATTTGCCAGGGTTCGCTAACTTGCTCAGTGAGCGTTTCAAGGACATCGGTGTAGTCACACTCCATTGGTCTGGTACTCACTGGAGCCTTAATTTTAACTTGGACCTATTAAACGTCTAAAACAACAAATTAGCTGGATTACATAATCAATAGTATGATTCTGTCTTCATTTCTGTTGCCGTCACCGTTATCGCCTTGATTATCATCACTACACACCGATTTGTATGCTTCAACTATAAATCATGTTAGCCAAAATGACACAGATTTTCCATGCAGAACAACTTCAATATGTAGTTTTAAAGCCCTGTGAAAAATTACCGAAAATACGCATTTGCTTATACTGTACTGGACAGCTGTTTCACCCAAGTTAGGGATTCTTTAGCAGAATGCATGCCCGAATCAATACAGTGGGTTGCACCCATCAAATTCAGTTTACAGGGTGATCCCGCTAACCAGTCAGCCACTGAGATAAAATCCGACGGCCCATGAATTCCAATTTCTGCATGACCAACGAGTATCCATATAACTGATTCGGTGGGCCCCTATAGTCACAACTTGAAATGAACTGAATCCCTAAAATCCAACGACGCATGAAAATTTTTAAGATTATCAGAGACGTCTTTATTTTGTGCGCACAATCATGGCCTGATAATTGTTAACTTAATTTGCGGAATTTGAAGGCGAATGCTCCCTCTCATGAAGAGAATGTCTGATACACAAAGTAGTTCCCGAGCTTCATCGTGGACTGTTTGCAGGTGCTTTCAAGATCAAATCTCCATTACACCACAGACTTATGCATAGCGACTTTTAATAGCTTATTTGTGCCACCAATATTTCCTTCCCTTTCTGTTTCCCTCCAGCACGCAAATAAATTTACTTAAGTGATTATTTTCACTTAATCACTTCATGCGCTAATAGCTAACTTGTAGGTATAAAATATTTTCTTGCCTATACTTGCTGAATATCTGAAGTAAAACTTGGACACCACAGTAGTAATTAATTCCACATCAATTTGTTTATTGGCTGTTTCACATACTGAAACAGTATTATTTACTGGATAACGTTCAACCACAATTTATTGTTCCTGAACATATCAGCTGTTTTCCGGTTAATAATACTGTTTCATTGTGTGATGTACCCAATGAACAGATTATAGTTGAGTCATTGATTACGGGAGTGATTAACCTTCCTTACCAGTATAAAACGTGATGAATGTGATAGACAAAGTGTTATATGAGTGTGACTACAATAAACAGCTTTGAATTGATTTTGAGAGCTTGTAATTCAGAGTGAAGGTGGGGATTACTTAGTGATATCTTTGACATTTAACGGCATTACACCGTTTTCCACCTGCTTTGTTCTACAGTTTCCAGTCAAACAAGAGGGCTGGTTGTTAGTTAACATCTGACACCTCACTGCAGGATTTTCTGTCATAAGTATTCATCCGAGAATCACAGAAACTTTCTAGTGGAAGCCATTCTGTCAAAGAAATTATTCCATTTCGTCCTATTTTGAAAGATGAAATACCACAGCTCACTTGACAACAAACACTGTCTGACTACCGTGCTAGAGGAATTCAAGAAATCCTCTAACAAAGAAAGGATTCACAAAGAAAGGATTCACTAGGTTGTCGGAAGATTTCACTGATACTGTATAATGTACCAAATGAAAAAATGAACATCATTTTACCTAACAAGTGAATTCCTCCTAATATGTAACATTATAATTAAGACATTGAAATAAGAACAAATTAGTTCAGCGAAGAGTCTCTTTTCGGCGAATTCATTCACTTAGCTGTACAGTCGCAAATATATACAATTATTTTGTGTGTGTGTGTACATTAGGTTTGTCAAAATCAAAATAACAGTTAGTGTGGGTTGTTGATTATATCATCAAAATAATGAAGAAGTTAAAATGTGTGATTAATAATCAAAGCTGTAACTAAGTGGGGTGAAGATTGGTAAGATGTGAGTAGGGTTACGTAATATAGACATGTTTAGAAAGATTAGATGCTAGTGAAGGAGTTTGGAGACAATTATGAAAATAAACTAGATAATAGGTGAAAAGATTGAATGGGTTAGTTACTAAAAATTGTTATAAGAAAAATTGCAAAAAATTTGATAACAAAATGTTGATGACAAATAAACTTGAAATTAAACCCACGGTAGTAGGAGGGGGTGGAGAAGTTTCTTCTGTGTGCATAACTCAGGCTTTTCCATCCAATTATAATTAGAAAATCTCTGAGAATAATATAACAGACACTGAGACTGTCTGAGACATCAGTAACTGCAGTGAAATGATAACCTAGTTAGTAGTTGGGTCTAGCAGTCTGGCAGTGGAGCTTCAGACTATTACTTCAGAATCTGGCGGTCTAAATCCTGACACAACTCATACTTTATTGCTTTTTCAATCATCATCACCCGTGTGTGTCGGTGGCACTGCGTTAGAATGCTCGCCAACCACACCTCACGTGGTTCGAAGTTTGATCCCTGACCGACGCACTCCTCCACCTCGCTGAGCCAGTAATAAGACAGGTAGAGAGGGAGGGCTGGGCATGAGGCTAGTAACTGCATCCCGTAAAAGTAAACACCACTACTACCGAAACCTCAGGCCTCCAGCTTGAAGCCCTATGTTCCACTGGGAACGTAAAGGAATAAAATAAAAAACAATAATGAATAAAATTCACTTAGTATAGAAATAATGATTGGTTCATGTAGCTATAGTTCAAGTTAAATGTCACTGTGTATTACACAGTAGCTGTTTTGTTCTCTGTTTTTAAGAAGAATACACCCCAAACAGAAGTGCATCAGAAAACCCAACTATTCATTGGTGTAATTCATCACTAAACATAAGACATTAACTCAGGGCTTATCTTCAAATAAAGTAGTTTAACTCTTCTGACAATAGATAGATGGTCTTCTTCCCAACTTGTATGCGACCATTTCTCACAGTGCGCAGCCATACAGCATAAACATATAGAGATATAACTGCTTTATCTTCCACACTCACATCTTTCACAAAAACAATGAATTCAGATGGATTCCTTAAGGTGTGTTTAAATGTTCTTATCTACAATGGTTCTACATTTCTTAATTACCGTTTCTCCACTTCTCACGGAAGACTGGAAAATACTGTTGGGCGTTAGGAACTCCTGTTCATATTTGACATCATACTTGATGTGCAAAACAGAAATTATTTTATTGATATCACTGCGAGCAAATTACTGTGGCTCTGGAAGACCAAACTACTGTTTGTACTCATTGAATATGATCTGCCTGACCTGATTCCATCAAATTAGTTGATAGTGCTTTAGTATTGAAATTATTGGATAATTTGTTCCACTGTTATTGTGAATTGTGTCTTGCATTTATATACTGGTAAATTTCATAAGCAAGTCAAAAATTAGACCAAAAAGGCACCCTATATCCCTTTTTCAGTTATCATAAAACTAATCTGAACCGGAATATTGGAAAATCAGGTAAAAGCGACAATTATTGGGCTGAAATGGGCTTATTGAGCAGTAGATTGCTTACCAATCATGCGCGTAGTCCAGGGTTCGATTTTGCAGTCTGGTAAGCCTGGTAAAGAGGAAAGGTTTGGTATGAGGCCAAAAACCTCACTCCACGAAAAACAGAATCACCACCACTGAACGCTTCGAGTTCAAGCTTGTAGCCCTATGTTCCACTGGGGACGCAAAGGAATAAAAAAGTGGATCTATACGTCTGAAATGTTCTATTTTGAGAAGAATTCTTTATTTTACCGGCTGTAGGAATCCTTTCACAGAGAGAAGCAAACGAACACCTAGGTGCCTGATGTCCTCTGGGCATTTGAAGTATCTGGCAAATAAGTAGCGACTAGTTAATATAAGACAGAAAATTAATACATGAGCTTAGGATGATAGATGTCATTTTTTCTCACGCATTAGTATTCTTCACATTTTGATCCCTAATAGCCTGTTATTATAACTAATAACTTATTATGACTCCAAGATTTTCACTGGTAGTGTGAAGTCAGTCAGTGCTTCTATCTGGTTCAGTGATTTGGAGTGTCACCAAAAGCATTTCTAACCGGCTTTAGACTTTTATTGATAGCTACCCTCAAACCATCCTCAACGATCACACGACCTGCCAGAAAGGATGATCACCAAGGAGCTCCGGAGTGCAATGAATCAACTAGGAAACAAATGCCAAACAAATACGCCGAAGAAAACGGGGACGGATAAGTTACAGGCTGAGTAAACCACTGAGTGACAACACGCACTAGGCCATCACTCAAATGGAATATTAGTAGGAAACGGCGAGTTGGATACTAGTCAGAGAGTGACATGAATGGGATCTTGTGGGGAGAAGATGAGGGCTAATGGACACTCGTGGAGCCAGCTAATATGACCTCAGAAAGCAGGGTGAAATGGAGATGTGCTTTTTAAGCCCTATATTCTATTTAGAACCCTGAAGGAACAATAATAAATTCTCCGTAATCTTTCGATTCACTTCTTTGCCATCAACACTTAGGCATTATAATTCCTTTTAACCTTTTGAAATGCTTGAATGAAAAAAACGAGGCTTAACTTCCTGTTTAAAAAATAAGCATATATGCTTTGTATCGCTGAACTTCCTTTTTCATTTTTGGAATCTAAATCAAATTCACCTTATTGTTATTATTATTATTAACCATTGTTAGACAGGTTTTACTTCTTCCTACAATGTGCAGTCACGCAATGAAAAGAGGGCTTTCTTTGTTTCATTCAACTGAACAAAATATTTGCTTTTTTTCATATTTTATCACGTTTAAAATGAGCTGAATCATAAACAATTGAGGGAGAAAAAATAATCCGTGAAATGGACTTTATTGTTTCATTTCGAATTATTTAAACTATTATATTATTAGTATTATCATTAATATTCCCTTGGCTACCGGGTGAAATATAGGGACTCAAAGGTACACCTCCACTTTATCCTGTTCTGTGCAGCTATTTTTAGTTGGCTCCAGGATTGTCCAATAGTTTTCATCTCCCTCTCACATGATCTCCTCCATTTCACCCTCGGACCCATGCATAACTCGTCGTTTCCCATTAAGGTTCCCCCTGGAGTGATGAACTGGCGTGTTATGTCTCTCAGCGGTGTCTTCAATTTGCGTTCAGTCTATTTCCATTTTATTCCGCACATTTTTGTTGTTCAGTAGGTTCTTACCTGGTTTGTTGCCAGCCAGTGTTCCTTGTGGCCATTCCTTTCTGACCGGCCATCTGATCTTCAATATGGAGCTAAGTCATATGTTGATAAAAATCAGAAGCCTGTCAGGAATGATTGTTCTGATGCACCAAGTCTCTGAACCGTCTACGTTATTCTATTATAACTTAATAAAAGAAGTAAAGCAGTACCAAGGTGTTTCTTGAATGTAAGAGTAAAACATTATATTGCACTATCTATCGTTCATCCATGAATGTAAACTCCCTTGTTATTGAAGAAAAACCAAACTTAACTCTTTTTTCATACTGTTTACAGTAGCTGGTTGCCTTGTGTTATACATCTATATGTTTCAGTCGAAGGTAAGTAAGTGGCTACAGTTCTCAAAAGGAGAGATTTCACTCGAATGATAAAAATACTATCTACATTTATAAATCACACAGTGTTGTACAGTTATATTAACTGATGACGTTTCGAGCACAAACTATTGCTCATAATCATATCAATCATAAATCATAACTTGATATGATTATGAGCAATAGTTTGTGCTCGAAACGTCATCAGTTAATATAACTGTACAACACTGTGTGATTTATCAAAATAAAATCTTATCCATTATGGAATTATACTCTACCACAGTGCCCAAGTTTTATACTTATATCAAATTGAACATATTTGCAGTACTGTCAAATTTAACTAACTTTAATTGTGAATAAAATCTTTACTAACCATGTGTTTATTTCTACCTTTCTCATAACTTATAGCCCATTCATCTTACGGTGATTTATTGAGACGTCGAAAAGAACGTTGTCAAGGATGTTGGAGGAGAGAAAAGAGAATTCGGTAAGAGACTGAACCTAAATTGTTGTAACAACCTTCCTTTTTCATCAAGAGTTGGTTTGTAGGGATTTGATTGGTTACATTTGTAATCAACAGCTAATATCAGCTGGAGAAGCGTCGGAAAGTCAGAGAGTACTGGATGGCTGTTTCATCCCACTAGGGTTTGAAACCAGGACCATCTGTTTACTAGGCGAGCTCTTAGAACATTCAACCCCTGGGATGGAATCTAATGGACCACGAATTACAACTTCTGCCAACTCCTTTCACGAATGAGACGACTTGAGACAAAAAGTGAGCATCCAGATAAGCAAAAAACTGGCACCTTTTCATGATGAAAAAACAGCAATTGAAATGTATCTTAAACTCTACAAAACAAATTTGCTTCGTGAAGAATCATCAGATTTGTTAGTAATTACCCCTACCATTGTATTTAGCTGTCAACAGGGAATAGTAAGATATCAGCACAAGAAGATTTAAATAATGAAATCAAACAAATGAAGGAAAGCATTACTAGTGAATAACTACCCAACAGAATTTATTCAAAAATATATGAAGAACCATAGAAAAACTAAGATTAGCAATAAAAATGACGAAAATAATATAGAATTCAAAGCCTCTGAGTAATACTGCCGTATAAAGAAGGAACGTCAGAGGCCCTATGTAGGATTCTCAATGGGGCTGAAATTAGGGTGGCATTTAAACCAACGAACTCTCTCAAAGATAAACTATGTCAATAATAATAATCTACTTTATTCCAAAAACGGTACTTATAATACAGAATGGAATTCTCAGTATTTGTCACAATATTGCATCTGATTTACTCAAAATATATATAAAATTAAAAATTAAAACAAAATTAATCGGAGGATTTTGTCCACATTTACGACACAATTATTAGATATAATAATAATAACAGTGAGTTTGTTTCAAACGGTATTGTCGATTCAGTTTGGGTCTAATGTTCTGTTGATATAGTATAGTGAGGGTAAATAAAAAATTAACAGTCATAATACAGCTTAAAATTATGACCAAACCTATGAAAAAAAAACGAAAAAATTGAGAGGATTATAATGTAAAAAATACAATAACAATAAAGTATGACGTTTTAAAAGTGAAGAAAATGGTTAATTTAGTGGTGCTAAGAAGGTTAGTTAGTTCATGCCTGACGCTATTTTCATCACATAATGTACGTGCTAAATATGGTATAGTGGAATTTTACTCTTAGATGTACGTGCATAAATTCTTCTGAAAAGACTTCCTGTTTTGCCTGAGGAGACACAAGGTTGCAGCTGCGGGTAGAGTGGGTGCTCAGAGTCTGACAAAATTCCTTTAGCGAATTTGTTGCATGACATCAAGTGCCTATCAGTGACAATGTCAACGATATGGCCCAATGGGATACCACTGGTCATACTAACAGTCTTCAGAGTTCTAAGAAGTATGACAGTCCTTTTTAAGCAATCCAGGAAAGAATAAGGGTGAACAATAAAGAAGAATAGGTAAAATACACAAGTTGACAAACTGTAAGAGTAGAGGTTGAGTTATACCTGAGTGCTTTAACTTCTTATTGTAAAAAGTCAAACGAAATATTCTTTTAGAAATCGCTAAGACATGAGAGGACCAGGATAGGTCAGAAGAGAGAATTAATCCAAGGTACTTAACTTCAGACTTGATTTCTATATCAGAATCATCGATTTTGCAAGGACCATAGGAACCAACGGCTTCATTTAACTTCCGTTTACATCGGAAACTGAAATTAACAGTCTGACATTTGGAAGGATTAAGTTTAAGGCCGTTAGACGAAAACCATTTGCTAATTTCTGATAGAAAGTTGTTTATTTTAGTGCAGTCAAGCTTAGAGTTAACAGACATTGAAACAGTTAGATCATCGGCATATTTAACAAAATTCATTTCATCGGAGTGAGGCAAGTCATGCAAGAAGAAAGAAAACAGAAAAGGAGAAAGGACAGCGCCTTGAGGGACACCAGCCTCAGTAAGCAACGAAGTGGACGACTTTCCCTGACATACAGTGTATTGCTTTCTTTCTGAAAAATAAGAATGGAGCCATTTGACAACCCAACAGTCAGTTTGAGTTTCAGCAAGCTTGTTAAGTAAAATGTCCCTAGGTACTGAGTCGAAAGCAGATGTCTAATTTAGGAAGGTGCAGCGAACAAATTTAGCCCCCTTGTCTAAGCTGGAGACAATGTTATGATATAAGACTGCAACTGCATCTGGACCCATTATGTCCAATTAAGAAAAATAATACAATTTACCGAATGTCATGTAACGACTGTGAGTGAGGTCGTTTACATCGGTCATACTAGTAGAGCAGATTCAAATGGATTATTGGAGCATAAAAATTTAGTTAGACCTGGAATAATTGACTTTTTTAAGTTAAATAACCTAGAGAAAAGTTCAGCCATTGCACTGCATTCACTTGCATGTAATCACACAGCGATAGGGTGGGAAAGGGTGAGAGTATTAAAAAGTAATATAGTTAGGTGGACTGAGAGAGAGGTTAATCACTGAAGCTTTATTTATCGATTCAACACCGCACATTTGCAATCGGAATGACGCAACACCTATACCGGAGATATGAAAGTGGCGACAAACAACAAAGGGAAGTTAGAGAAACAGAAAGAGAGAAAATATATGTACAAGACAAACTGTAAAACCGTGTGACTAAATTTCATATGATTATTAGCAATAATTTACGCTCGAAACGTCATCCACTTGTTAATAATGAGTCGCTGTGTGATATTTAAAATAAGCTTATCTAATATGGGATTACATTCTACCACAGTGTCCAAGTTCTACACTTACATTAATCAACACAAGAAGAATTGTAGGAGGCGGTTAGCCATTTACAGAGTTTATCTTTCACGCTAAAACGTCACTGCGGTTTCCTTGAAAGGCAGGAAGTATTCAGACATCATGAGTGACCAATACAATTTACCAGGTGGAAACCACTCTCAATATGTGCTACCTACTGGCGACATCAAGGTGATATAAACACTTGGATAACGTTTCGGTTACGTAGATATTTCGTTCTAGCCGGGTAAGAGTAGAGGGCTGGATCAATTTCAACTATCCACATTCTGCAGAGCCTAATTACTTAGTCGCATGTTGTTAGCAAAATAGATCCGCAGCATTATTTCTTAGTAAAGTTGGCTATTACTTTAATTACTTTAATGAATCAGACGTAAGTGTTGTGTAACATTCTAGCTTGATCCCCTGGTTTTATTCATGCCGTCAAGTGGATCAAATTTTGCGCTTTGAAGATTTTGGGTTTTCAAATGTAACTTCGGGAGATTTAGAGCTTAAATGTGAAATTCTCAATTAATTTGCTTCATTAAGTATTACCAGTTTAGTTAAGTTTTTTAATTCCTTTACGTTCTCAGTGGAACACAGGGCTTCAAGCTAGAGGCATGAAGTTTGGATAGCAGTGGTGTTTTATTTTTTACGGGATGGCGTTGATAGCCCCATGCCCAACTTTCCCTCTTTAGCTGTCTTATTACTGGCTTAGCGAGGTTTGGGAGTGCGTCGGTCGGGGATCGAACCCCAGACCACATGAGGCGTGGTCAGCGAGCATTCTACCGCAGTGCCACCGACGCACGGTTTAGCAAAGTACCTAGAAAAATTATGTTATTTAAGATTACTTTAGATAATAAAAACTGAAATATTTTGTAGTAACTAAAGCATCTGCAAACGATTCTCAGAATCTTTCCTGTCCAGTGAATTAAAAAGTCACCTAGGTAGATCTGCAACACGGGGAGAATGAAAAATGAAGTAAATAGATTACGCAGAACTAAGTCGATTATTCGAATTGTGACTTTAAGAAGTTACAATACCGGGTGACAAAATAAGAGATGGAACTCAAAATCATGGAAATTTTGCTTTATTATACTGCCTCTGAAACACTGATAATTCTGTCGACTATGTCTACTCTATTGATCAAGTATAATAAATAACTTCAGTGGTACTTATGTAATGACCAGTTAAGCTTTGTTGACTTTACACATACATGTTATTTTACAACTAGGAATTGGAATCAAAGGAAGATATTACATCAGCTATTACATAACATGACTAGATAAAAGGCAAAATTCGACTCGTAATTTTCATACAGCTGTCAAAATGCTAATTTAACTTCACAAGCAAATGTTTATCGATATATGCGTAAGACCTGAACACTGTGGTAGTATAGATTGAATGGCCACTGGAGTGTAACTAAATAGTGAGTCCTTGGTGCTGAATTCCACCTCGATGACCAGTCACCTAACTTGATGAATATGTCACAGACTTGACTGATAGAGTTCAGTCTGCACCAAACCAAGGACTGGACGTATGACAATGGTAACTGCCTAGTGACAAGTCCATGTATCCTTTACAGGCCTACAGAAACAGCCGTGAATCTGAATAGTTCAGTGTTAACATCTGTGACTGCATCACTAGATTAGGGGGGGGTTCAAATCTCAGAAGGGAAGTCAGTTCCTTCAAGATTACAGACATTCCTTGTTGACGAGTGCTGGTAAACACAAGACCTAATTGTAGGACTTCCCGCTGATTTCCTTGAACCATCTAACATTGTGTCAGTATGTAACTGCACAGATATTTAGTAGTCGAAATTTTTGATGTGATATCACGAAGTTAAGAATGGATTCCATGAACACTGACAAAGGAGGAACAGCATTGTCATATTTTATTTCATCCAGTTTTTGTTGGTAAAATTTTGTGCTGCTATTTAATATAATTATTATTCATGCCTTGTGACTGGAATGCAAGGCTTCGGCAGCGCATCTCCATTGCATCTGGTTGTCTGTCATCACTTTCAGCTGGCTCTATAACTGCTGACATACTTTCGTCTTTCCTTCATATGATCTCCTCCAGGTCACCAATGGACCCACGCTCAATGGATCATCTCTTATTCGGGTCCCACTCTAAAGCATGGCATGTAATGTCACCTGAATTTATCTTCATTGCATATTCTATCCATATCCGTTTGCCCCTGCACAGGTTGTTGTCTGGTTCTCCGCCAGAGTTCTTTGTTGCATATCCCTTCTGGCTCGCCATCTGATACTCAGTGTCGATCGAAATCAGTTGTTAACGAAGGCCTGCAGCAATCTGTTAGAAATGGTTTTGGTGATATGCTAGTTGAGTCTCTGAACCATATAGGAGCACTGAATTGACAATAGTTTTGAGAATTAGTGTCTTCTTCCTTGCCCTAAGCCCTGTAGACCTCCATAATGATTTTGTAGTACATGGATGCCTGTCTTAATTTCCTGATTCAGATCCTTGATAGGATAATATATTATAAGGTATTAAAGTCTCTATTGGGCACAGTAATCATACAGTTTTAATCCTCTTTCCTTTCTTTTAACTTATTCTTAATTATACAGATATGCAATAAGAAGAATGGTTAAAAGTCAACCGTTTTATTGGGCTGTAATTATACTTGTATTTTTAAACACTGTTTGTGGAGCTATTGAACACCATGGTCAACCTGCATGGCTTTCTACTTTTTTATGTAAGTTGGAAATATCTATTATTAATTATTACGCTAAATAATGTTGATATAGTGTATAGAATTCTCGCCGGAGTTTTAATCGCTTAATAGTTTGTATTTGTCTAGAATCTTTAAATAAATGTGAGGATAGTTGGTCCCAACACAACTGCTGTCTGACCTAAAATTCAAACCAATCCTGTATGATATTTCTTCTTTGTCTCCGCGAAATTCAGAACATTTGTTTGAAGGACAATTGAAAAAGTGCAGGAGTACATTTTGAGAACTAAGGACATAGCTGAATAGTAAAAGACTTCAGGTAGTTTCTTTGGCAGTTGTAGTTTTTACTAAAAACCTCAGGAATAGTTTTCTTATGTACTGGAATGTGTGGATGCCCACGATTATGTTTCTTCTCGCTTAGCATGCGAGAGGTACTGGGATCGTTGTCCAGGTTCTCCAACTCACCTCGTCTCCACCTCGAGGCGGTGACAAGCATTTTGGGGTACCTAACCTGTCATGTGCTCTGATGGTGTTCTCGTGACTTTTGTTGCCAGATCTGCCAAGGGCGATGGAATAGTACGCAACCTAACGGTTGTATGCAAGGTTTGAAGAAGGCTGTGTGTTATTTGCATGCGCCTCGCCCTGATAATGTTTTGTGCGTCGGTGGCATAGCGGTTAGGACGCTCGCCGACCATTCACATGGTCAAGGATTCGATCCCCGGCCGACGCACTCCTTTACCTCGCTAAGCCAGAAATAATGCTGGTGAAGAGGAAAGGTTGGGCATGAGGCTAGCAACCCCATCCTGTAAAATAAACACTGCTACAGAAACTTCAAGCCACAAGCTTGGAGCCCTATGTTCCACTGGGGAACTTGAAGGAGAAAAAAATGTTTCTTCTCAAGTTTAGTAAAGAGTAGTGAATCAGCAAGTCGTAAATATTTCAAATACTCACGAGAGTAAACAGTACCATTACAAGTCATATTTTATTAGATTATAAGAGACTGAACAAGAGAAATTATATGCCATATAATGACGGAGGTCTATGGTGGCCCAAGTTTCAAGCAGGTCGCCTCTGTAAAGAATTTACTCTTTCATCTGTAGGGAGGTGTTTGTTTGTTTGATAATTGCACGTCACTGGATATGAATTTATAACCACGTAATAAACACGACAATGTGTTGATCAAATTTTATGAAACATGTGGTTTATCCTTTAGCCAGAAGTTCTAGTAAGTTAGGTTACATATTTTTCCGCAGTCATTAATATTCTGGAGGACTTTGGGAAACTCGTATTTATTCAAAATCTAGAAACAGCGTGACAGTCAGCCATGCTAGTTTCAACTAACCGGCAAAACACAGAGGTGAATTAGTCACCAAATAGTGACCAACGAAAAAAATAACTTAGTACTTAGTATCGATTGAAGTCCACTGGCCAGGTTCTAAGGATGACCTAAATAATTGTTAGACAAGGTAATGTGTCACACTTTGTTTTGGGGTCAGATATTTCAATATATTTGTTCGTCAGCCACGCACGTGATCCTAGTTCAGCTCTCGACTGACGCAATTACCTCGTTTACTAGCCCATAGTAATCCAGGAATAAAGTAACGGTTGGAAGGGAGGCTATCAATGTCACCTTGTAAAAAAACAATGCCACCACTGCTGAAACTCCAAAGTCTAAGGCTCTATATTCCAAATGGAATGCTAAGGGACGAAAGAACAACTTCATTATACTATATTATTTTTCATTCTTCTTATTTACGAAGTCAACAAATGTATTTATACGAAATCGTAGCTGCTATTTTACTTACATGTAAATCACAAAATAATCGAGCAAAGAAAATTCTTCTCGATAAATTCCTCTTCCGGCTCTACAATTATATATATATGTTTATATACACAGAATATTCTAGATTAGTAGTTAACAACAATATTAGTGTTTTTTAAATAATATCGATTTGTAAAGTATGATCAATGCAATTACAGTTCATTAAAGATGCTTAAATCATAATAATAATAATAATAAAGATATAATAGCGAATAGAATATCAACTAAAATTAGGGAAATTCCACAAAAATTCCGGATTATTCAAACCTGGATGGCCAAGGTAATGATAATGTCTGAACTAACTTCTTTTGGATCCATAAATTAGGCTTGTTAATATGGATCCCCACAGCCTCAGCAATATTTAGTAGTCGAACTGTTAAGGCAAAATTGAGATTCGTAGGTATGCGGTAAATGACCCTGAAAGCATGATTAGCGTCAATCTTGTGTTCTGTCTCCACAAGATGAGACAGAATAGCGCTGCGAATAGATTTTGCTTGTCCTTTGCTTAACCAGGCAGGGTGATGTTCAGAAATTCGGCGAGAAACATGTCTAATTGTACGGCCTATGTAACTGGCTCCACAGGAGCAATTGGTAGATACACATGGAAGAGGCGAAATTAGGCAGTTTGTCTTTTATTCCCGAACGCAGAAGAGGAGTGGTTTTAAAGATACAGCCTAATTCAGCAGCAGGGAATGCTCTTTTCATCGCATTTCTAAGGTGCTGTGTTAGTATCTCACTGGTTTTGTCTCCTAGGAACTGCATCTGTAAAAATAAGGCTTTTTTGGAACTGTTGGTAACTTGAGCTGCTTTGGTTTCAGATTCAGATTCTTATCAATAAATCTATTCGCAGCGCTATTCTGTCTCATCTTGTGGAGACAGAACACAAGATTGACGCTAATCATGCTTTCAGGGTCATTTACCGCATACCTACGAATCTCAATTTTGCCTTAACCGTTCGACTACTAAATATTGCTGAGGCTGTGGGGATCCATATTAACAAGCCTAATTTATGGATCCAAAAGAAGTTAGTTCAGACATTATCATTACCTTGGCCATCCAGGTTTGAATAATCTGGAATTTTTGTGGAATTTCCCTAATTTCAGTTGATATTCTATTCGCTATTATATCTTTATTATTATTATCATTATGACTTAAGCATCTCTAATGAACTGTAATTGCATTGATCATACTTTACAAATAGATATTAAAACATATTTTAAACACTAATATTGTTGTTAACTACTAATCTAGAATATTCTGTGTATATAAACATATATTATGATTGTAGAGCCGGAAGAGGAATTTATCGAGAAGAATTTTCTTTGCTCGATTATTTTGTGTTTAACATGTAAATGTAAAGTGGTATGTGAAACGCTGATTTTAATCAAAAATAGTATGATTGTAACTATTCATGATTGTTTTGAGATTTTTTGAAATCATCTAAATTAAATTTACTTGTTCTTACACATGTTTACAAAAACTTTAATGAGAAAACTGTGTAAATGCAACAGATCAAATTAATGCTGATACTGTAAAACATGGGTAATTAAATTACTTCAAGCCTGATAATGAGCTGACATCAGTTAGAAAACCATTGAAAAATCAGAGAGTATGGGACAGCTGTTTCGTACTCAGCAGCACGCAACCACCGGCGACTGGACCCAGAACCTCCCAGTTACAAAGTGAGCCCTTGGACTATTCGGTCAATGGGAGTCGAACCAAAGGCCGATCAACAATTTGTGGTTTTAGCGCAACCACCATCCAATATCATCGGCAAGTATTTGACCTCACGCCTGACATAGTGGATCCCACTGGTCACGACCTCGCACTAGAACTCCAGGCAACTTTGTCCTGTAGCCAGTCAATAGCGAGCATCATATCATTTTAAATTAATTAATGATAAGGTACCGGAGGATTGAATAATCTGGGCGTTGTTTATTTTAGTCTTGCTAGGAAATATAGTATAATTTTAGGACATGCAAGGGATAGCGAATTCTACTCGCTAAATTGCTTTACTTTATCGATTAATGAGAACGAAATATAGACCCAAATAAGAAGCATACCCTAAAATATGTACTTGGTAATATACCACATTTATTGTGTGATACATAAGGCAGAGTTAAAACTCATTGTTTACCGAAGTTTGACTGTGAAGCGCTTCTTCTTTTCTCCATTTATTTATTTAGACTATTTCGGTTTCTGACGAAATCGGTCTTGAGCCCAACTATTATATCCTCATTAATGCGACTTTTGAAATTTCCATCCATATGAAATCTTCTCACTTACACACGTACATACTACTTTTAACCGCATAATTATTTAACTTAGACGCATAGGTTCATTAGAAGTTCAGAATCTAACTCATTACTACATATATACTTTAAGCTGAGTCAGTCAAGATAGAAACAGAATTGTTTGAAGTACAATATTGTAAAACAGAATGTTTGTTCAGTATGTATTTCTGAGCAATACTACTATCTAGGTGAGTCGGTGGCACAGAGGTAGAATAATCGCCAACCATGCATGTGGTTCAGGGTTCGATCCCCGGTCAACGCACTCTCAAACCTCTCTAAGCCAGTAAAAAACTTGTAAAGAGGGAAGGTTGGACATCAGGCTAGCAACCCCATCCCGTAAAAATAAGTACCACTGCTACCGAAACTTCGAAGTTCTGACTTGAAGCCCTATGTTCCGCTTGGAATGTAAAGGATTAAAATAATAAACATTAATAATACTATACAGGGGAAATAAGTGTGAGAGAATTGAGGTGGCATGGGAATTAGCAGTGAATAACAATCACTGTGAGTAAATAAAATTAACACAAAAGTAGATAAAAGCAAACAAAGAATAAGAAGATTTCAGGCAAAAAATTAGACAGCATAAATTCGACATCCCTTTATTTCTCCCAGCAGAGAAGTTATATTCTAACCTTTTTATTTTATTGGCTACCGTGTAGAGAAGTCGACTGAATTTATTTTCTCTATTTACCATTGTGAATACATTCTCAGTATTTATATCATGTCCCACATTCAGAAGGTTGTATAAAACACGTATGGCGACCCACACATTTTTCCTAACCTACCTACTTACATGTAGCTGCAAAGTTCTATGTGAAGTTCCACATGAAACAGCGATCAAATTTAATTTTTCGCTGTCTTAAGTCTTATACTTTCGTGACCCATCAAGTCTGACTTCGTAGGATTCG